AAAAAAAAAAGAAAAAGGGGAAGAAAAGCATAAGTTAACTACACAGACAACAATGAAATGATCATGTGCATTCATTCATGAAGTTTGGCAACATCGCAAGAAAAAAACTAAAATCTCAACAGGTTTAGAAAGCACTCACTATAAGCACATAATCCTGAAAAGTGCTCGATACCATTTATAAAGAACTAATACATGCCGGGCTCTAATTTTAAATTACCTGATCGTCATCAGCAAAATTGTCCTCCTCCCCTCCATTCTCCTCTCCCTCTTCTCCGGATTTATTTTTCTGCTTCCTGGGAAAGAAGATACAGTAAAATATAGTTGTAACAATGGAAACAAATAGTGTTTTCAGCTAAATTAAAATTATCATGCCAGATTTTTTTTTCTCCAGAAAAGAAAAGTTCATTTCTAGTGAGGAAAAAATAAAAATCAATTTCATGAAATATATATTTCATTTGCTTGAAGTCCAAATAAAAAAAATCAGAACTACCGACAAAGTTTAAATTTTCTATTACCTCAACAATCACTACTTAGTCTTTAACGACTTTACACCAAACATTTAATAATGTATCAATGAAAGGTCAATACTTAACAGCCTGCCCACCACATCATAGACATTCACCTATCAAAGTGAGTTTGAGTTTTCAACCACTTCCCCCCTTGCATTTTTTCCCCTTTAAATTATAACAACACTGTCCAAATCTGCCTAAGATAACCATTTTTCTCCTTGGCAATGGGTGGCCGTCTTGGTCAATTTCAAGTGTATGTCAAGGCAGTTATTGCACAGTTGGGCAAGCTTTAAAACAGAAGGTACTGTCAAACCCCACTGAAAAATGGTTTTCTTGCACCCCCCCCCCCTCCCCCGAAAAACAAATGTAAAGCTGGTACATTGTGTAGTCAGGGTAAAGGTTTGTACTTACTTCTTCTGAGTCACCAGGTCAAGAACTTGAAACACTAGCCCATACAAATATTCTACCTGTAATAAGATGAAAAGTACAAAAGGCATTCCAATTAACATTCTATACCGACACTGATTTATGGTAGGGACTGATAACCTATAAATACTGCAAAAAGAAAAGGACCGTTAATTCGATATTAGAACTGAATACTGCACTGACGTGGAATATAGTCAAACCTGCTCTAATTGCACTTCAATAACATAATAACCTGCAGGAACAGCCACGTCCCTTACCCCCATCGTGCGTTTTTTAAAACATTTGTGAAGTAATTGATATCACCTTCAAGCTCGTTCATTTTTCTATGATGAAAAAAATATCCATTATCTTGAACAGAAGTTGAGACAATCCTGATTGAAGGGGGG